CGTCTCCCCAGTTCGAGCAGAGGAGGTGCGTGCACGACTCCTCCAGTCCCGAGCAGAGGAGGTACGCGTCTCCTCCAGTCCCGAGCAGAGAGGTGCGTGCGTCTCTCTCCAGTCCCGAGCAGAGGAGGTGCGTTGTCTCCTCCAGTCTCGAGCAGAGAAGGTACGTACACCTCCCCAGTCCGAGCAGAGGAGGTACGTTACACGTCTCCATCCCGTGCAGAGGAGGTGCGTGTGTCCTCCAGTCCCGAGCAGAGGACGTGCCTGTGCCATCCATGTCGTCCCCGGCGACCTCGGCGGACCGGGCCCGGCCCTCGCTCGACGGCCACAGCCCGCAGCGCCGCACCGAGCCGGCGCCGACGAGCGCCGTGTCCATGTATGGTCGCTCAGATGACATCTGCGCCGGCCGCGTTGCATCGCTGAATACGTAACTGTGTGCGCGCCGCCGTCCTCGCTCCGGGAAAGGCCACCGACGGCGGCGGCCCCGCACCTGCGGCCCATCAGTATGCGGCCGGGCGGCGCGGCGCTGGCCATGTCCGGCGGGGGGAGCCGAGGTCCACCGACGCGGCTGGCGTCACAGCCAGCCGGCCGGCCGTGTTTATTTCCAGCGGATCCCGGGAAACGGCGGGCTGGCGCCACCTGGTGGGCGAGCTCCTCACCCCCGGGTGAGTCTGGTGGGCGAGGTCCTCACACCCCGAGCAACCCTGGGTGGCGAGAGCCTCACCCCGGGTTGAGTCTGGTGGGTGAGCTTCTCGCCCTCGGGTGAGTCTGGTGGGCGAGGTCCTCACCCCCGAGCGATCTGGTGGGCGAGCTCCTCATCCCCGGGTAGTCTGGCGGCGAACTCCCCACCCTCCGAGCGAGTCTGGTGGGCGAGCTCCGCACCCCCGAGCGAGTCTAGGGAGAAGCTCCTCACCCCGGTGAGTCTAGTGGTCGAGCTCCGTACCCCCCCCCCTCGAGCTAGTCTGGTGGGCGAGCTCCTCACCCCCGGTGAGTCTGGTGGGCAAGCTGTCACCCTCGGGTGAGTATGGTGGACGAGACCCTCGCCCCCCAAGCTAGTCCGGTGGGCGAGCTCCTTGCCCTCCGAGCGCGTCTGATGGCCGAGAGTCTTCCCTTCGGGCGAGTTTGGTGGGCTGGTGACACTGGGGAGTGTCATCACGCAGACATTTATATGTTTATACTGGGAGGCACTTCTGTAGTGGTCTCGTAGTGCCAAAAATATAAATATAAGTACTTGTAAATTAGTATCTCTGTACGTCAGTGAGAATCGTACGTGTTACGACATGATGGCACATACTTTGGACTGCTCGGCACACATACGATGTCTTTATATATGGAGGAGCTATCAGCTGCACCGGGCCGCTCGGTACGCAGCTGTCGTGATGCATTCCAGCACCATGATGTGTGGCGATGACGCGTGATGCATTCCGGCGTCCTCCCCGAACGACGGAATATATGCATTAGTCAGCTCCGTTCTTATCTTAAAGTCAGACGACATACGTAAACCAGGGCGGGCAAAAAATGCCAGGAGGCGCCGAGGAAGGTCGGCGCGGGACGGCTGGGCGTCACGGAGGCGGCGCGCCACCGGCTGTGTGTGACGGACATGCACGACTGGTGAGGATCGCGCACCAGGATCGGCTGCTTGTGTCCTAGGCGACATGCATCTATGATTTCAGGAAAGATTATGTATCGCTTTGAATGCTGGCAAGCGGTCTTTTGGATCCAAGGTTCGTACAATAAGTATGTGCGATGATTTTTCATGATCCAGTCACCTCCTCAAATTTCCTTTCAGGATCTTCCGGGACTTATTTGACAATGGGAGGCAGCTTCCTAATAGTCTTGTACGGCAAATAAAGCTATTCAAGCTGTCATCATTCAAACAGTTAAGATACGGTGCAGTAAACATAGCATTTAAAACGATGTCAGATTAGGACCAAGGCGTTCCTATCAAAAATTTCCCCGCCTCGTCTGATGACAATTGGCGCTCAAGCCTCAAACAAAGCAAACAGGGCGGATTGCTGTACGTATCTTTTTTTATAAGATTCGGATAATTTCTATCGAGAGTATCATTGGTAACTGTAGTCCCGATTGCGACACGGTTATCAATAGTAAAGGCCTATGCCTGAACGGGCTCGTGAGCCGTTAGTTGGCCGAATGTGGAGCACGTCCGTACAGCAAGTCCGGAACTCCAGCATGCGAAGCAGCGATGGAAAGGAGTGAAACGTTGGGGCGCATGTACCCAGGGTAGATAGGACCTAAGACCTTGCATATTGATGGTTATGCACGCACGTTAAAAAGTCAGTTGCAACTTGAGGTCTGCATATTTTGTGCGTGCATGCGTCTTGCGTTTTTGACGATATGTTGTGTATGTGTGCGCGCGCGCATTCGATCTCGGTGCCAAAATAATACTACACTTCGCTTGCTGGAGAGGTACACAACTTGCCCGTGCTTGTTGTAATAAATTTGAAAGGCAGATTTTTCGTATAGACACCACACACACACACCACACACACACACACACACACACACCACACACACACACACACACACACACACACACACCCACACACACACACACACACACCACACTACACACCACACACCCACACACACACACACACACACACACACACACACACACACACACACACACACACACTACACACACACCACACACACACCACAACACACTACACACACACACACACACACACACACCACACAACACACACACACACACACACCACACACACACACACACACACACACACACACACACACACACACACACACACACATATATATATATATATATATAGATATATATACTATATATATATATATATAATATATATATTATATATATATATATTACGTTGATCACTATGAGCAATGTACCATCAACGCATCAATCCACTCGACAGAGAGTGTTACAAGAAACCGTCTGCATTGTGGCTTGTGCCGTACCTCCAATCTCACTTTGGCACCTCAGTTGTCGCCATGTCAATACTCTCCTGTAAGATTGGAAAGCACCAGCCTTCATGCGTTGTCTGTTAGGTAAAACAAGTTTAAAGAACAATGCCCTTTGAACTGGAGGCGGACCATGGTGTCAAGCGATTTTGCGGTAAACGGGATCATGTTATGTATTTGCCTCAATGTGCAGTTAGAAATCATGCTAAACAGTCTCCTAATATACGGAACCCATCTTCATCTTGTCTGAATAACCATCCAGACTCCAGGAACAGTCTACATACATGTGCTGTGGAAGCACTCCGGAATCTGGAATTCGCTTGGGGAGTCACGCACGGGTCTGTGTTGCGGATGGCGCTACTAAGGGCATGCGATCGCTTGGGGAGTCACGCACGGGTCTGTGTTGCAGATGGCGCTACTAAGGGCATGCGATCGCTTGGGGAGTCACGCACGGGTCTGTGTTGCGGATGGTGCTGCTGAGGGCATGCGACACATCACGGTATTCAGGGCATTCACATCACCGGCACCAAGTCATGTCACAACGTAGCTCCACAGCAGTAAGTCATGTTATAACGTGATCTTCACAGCAACAAGCTGTCAATGCCCCCATGCGGCCCTCATGCTATCGCGACCTCACAGGATGTCGTCACATCACAGCATCTCTCACAGCACCTCATCACAAGTCTCGGTGCGTCACAGCAAAGTCCCCACGACGTCCCACATCACATGACGCGACGGCATCACCGGCATGCATTGCCATAAGGCAGCACATGAACTTGCAACATCAGTGTGCCGTATCACGTCACCCACACCGCGGCGTCACATTAAGTTATCACATCCCAAGATTACGTCACGGGCGTCACATCACGTGATCCCGGCACGCCTGGGGCGAGCGTGGCGGGTCGTGACGCGGTGGTCTCCCCGGAGCCGTGCAGCCGCCTCGGCCGTCACCAGGTTCGTCCGCCGCCGAGAGTACCGCGACGACCATCACCCGGCACGACAGAGCCCGCTGACCCGAGCCGGGCCCGGGTCAGAGGGAACGGACGCGGCGGGGCCCGCCCCGGCGAGCGGGCCGGACCGCCTTCAACGACAGGCAGAGCACGGTTACGACAGCCTCGGGGCGTAGCAGTCATTCCTGGACTCGCCACGGCTCCGAGCGTCCGTGCCACTCTCGTCCACGTCCCGCGGCCACGTCGGGACACCGGTCCACTCCACACAGCTGACGACCAACCCGCCAGCGCCCACGAGCAGCCCGGTGCTGCACCGGCGCGCGGGCCGGCCGGCGCTGGTCGGTCGCCGCCCCGCGCCGCGCGCCGCGCGTGGCCCCCGACACTGAGCGATGCACCGACGAGGGACGCTGACGGAGCATCGGACCGCCAGCTGCAAACGGGCCTGCCGCCCGCTGCCAGCCGGCCACACCAGCTGATCGGGCCCGTGCGCTGCATCGCGGCGGGCAGGTGAGCGCCTCGTGTGCCGAGACGGCTGAGGGCAGTCCACGGACGGGGTGGAAACCGGAGACTGCTGACGGGCGAACCTCATGCTAAGGGAGACGGGACGCCGGCCGGTGCAGAGTCCTGAGTGCATTCCTGGTCGGATGCATGGGCGCTGTTCACGTTCAGGGCGCGGTCGAGCAGTAGCCGAGGAACGAGTCATCTTTCTCAATAGCACGCGTTGTAAAACTACAGCACTTAACGGCCAGCCTATAGGATAAAAAGACCATCACGAATGTTTCTGGGCCGCCTCTGGTCAACAGTCATAACAGCGAACGCATTGCAAAGTATACGGCCGGGGTGGCGACCGCGTCCGCTTCAGTTCAAACGGCGCGTCGACTGATGGATCCCACCGTCTCGGTGATGACGGCAGCGGCACCGGGCGCCTGGCAACATGACACAGCCGCAGACGGCGCAAAGCGGCGCCGCCAACGCCAGCACAGAGCTCAGCGGCGCCGCCGACGCCAGCACAGAGCTCAGCGGCGCCGCCGATGCCAGCACAGAGGTCAGCAAGCGATTTCCAAGACATCGCGGCCTTCTGATCGGAGCCAGTAACCGAGGCCTTCCGATCGGAGCCAGTAACCGAGGCCTTCCGATCGGAGCCAGTAACCGAGCCGCGGCGATGACAAGAGGCGTGACTCCACAACAACCGACCGCCGCCGGCCGAGAGCGCTGGAGTGAGAACGAGACGTCGGGACGGGCCCAAGTTTAACAGTGAATTTCAGCACGCGAGCAATAAAAGCATGCGGAGTGCGAGGTTTTTGTGATCTTTTGGGCAGAACACTCCCACCTTGTCAACGATATTCTGGCCAGAGTCAAATTCCACTCATCAGCCATTCACAGCACGCCGCGAATGTTGGGGCCCTGGAACCACCAGTGCGACCGCAGGTCAAGCAGAGTCACGCAGCGACGCCTGCGCGAACGTGACAGCCCGCGCGGATCGCCACCGCCTCCCGACCGGCTCTCGGCCGCGCCCTGTCACACCAACGGCCTTCTAGCGCCGCACTCCCGTCTCCAGCTATCGCCGGCCTGGCATCGGCAAACGCGGCGCACGCCGCGCGCGCGGCAACAATGGCG